GTAGATCTCTGCCGTCCCCGTGTTTGATTGGGTCGAGAAAGTGTAATTGTAGGCTTACGCGGCGACTGGAACGCGAGACAGTAGCCTCGTGCGTACCTCGTGAGCCTGCATCCTCATCCGCAGTCAAGTGCGGCGTGGTATGCTGATCTGGACGTGAGACCGGAGTCTCATCCGTAGGAAGTGCAGATGGCGCGTGCTGCTGACTGGGACGTGAGGAGTAGGTCTTTGATTTCGCTAGCGTGGGATCAGAAGGAAAAATAAGAATCCCGCTAGTAAGTTGGACGAGTCCAGCATTAAATCTCGATTTACTAGGTAGGGCACTGTCACTGACGTGTGCTGGTATGAGACGATCAATACGGACTGTGTCCATCAACCTTGAAGGTCTTTTCGTAACGAGTGGATCCACTAGAAGTTGAGTGAGATTCGCGAGTCTTGGTACATTATGATCTCAAATCCTACTCTATGACGAGTATGATTTCCGAGTGAACCTCGCATAGGTATTTGAGGTTAATTTTTGATATGTTTGACAGCTTACAGTTCCACCTGCTCATAAACGTCTTCATTTGGCTCCATTTACAGTGTGGGAATACAGTGTTTCCTCCCCCACCCCAACAATACATTAATACATTAGAACTTATCCAAAGTTGAGCCACTAAGTTAGTTCAAGTACTTAGATTCAAACCTTATAAAGGGGGTTAAGATCATTAGCTCTTTACCCTTTAGAGTACAGTTGTCTCAGAGTTGACCTTCTATTACTCATATCGTTCTAAACACTCCCGGACACCCCCAAATAATGAGTTGGGCTCAGTCTCAATACTAAACTTAGAAACACTACCCAGAAACCAGACCATATATTGAAGTATTGATTGTCCCTTTACTTTCTACTCTTTAACCATAGCAAAACTCTGGAACTTGTTACCGACTGATAAGGTAAAAGCTACATCCCTCGAATCCTTAAAGAAAAGCACGACAATTTTCCTAGGACTGAGGAAATTGTTTACTTGTAATTCAATAACACTTCTCTTTAACTAAGTTATCTGAAACAATTATTACGTGAATTCAAAAACCATAATGATTTCATAATTTGATGATTTTTGGCATATACTATTTTAGATTGTAAGTGTGTATATCGTATCTTACAGTACTGAACGCTTCTTACAATTACAGATTACAAATGCAAAAACTATGTACAAGTTACATCCTTTATTATTCCTGTGTGTATACTTATATATTTGCATCATTAATTATCCTTACATTTCTTTTTGAAATAAACATATCACCGTTCTGATATTCAAAACTTTTGGTCCGCCACAAATTACGCATCTTTAATACGTACTTTTGATGTTGACCTAAGGCTAGGAGGTGGTGACTGAATATTTTATCATATTTTGGTAGCAATAATTCTTTATCTGGTTTTATAACAGTATTACTGCTCAGAGTTCTGAGAGCACTCCGACAAAAGGTCCTGTCGTAACATGTAAATTTGTTATTTTTGGATCCATAACAAGAGACCATGTCTTTTCTTCCTTTGTGATGTTCGGTATGTAAGCATATTTAAATAAAATGCCTATCCTTTATCTGCATGATTTTGTGAACCGACGTAGTAAGTGGCTGTCTAATACCAAAACTATATTTCATGTTCGTATAAGTACTCTCTAAGTCATTCACATTTCACCTTGACCGACATCGACCTACTAATATGGACTACAATAGTGCTATAATACCTTTTAAGGCCACTTCATTCTACGTGCGATAATACTCTTCTTCGTCTCACGAATGTTACTGTTCATGGAGGAGACGCCGTCAACCATGTACACAAGGGTAAATGGATATGCCCTACTGGTTCGTCTATGTAAATAATATTCACTGATTTCTTTCGATATCAACTGATTATTAATCCACACCCACATCCTGAGGTTCACAGCGTTGTCGCACGCTTTTCCTAAAAGAGACATAAATCTCCTGGATCGAGTGAAGAGACGATCAGATAAATGAGTGGTGGTGTTGAGGAACATGTCTTATAAAGATAAACTCCAGAATTTGGGATGATTCTCACTGAGTTACTGGAGAATTCAAGATGACGATCATAATATTAGTATATTTATTGTCAAATAACAGCACATTACAAGAGGCATGCCAATTTACTGAGTAAATCAGATTGATACCACATTTACTGTAGAAGTTATCGAAGTTGGTTTAGAAATCAGAATTTGTTTCTGACAGCACATTTATGCCATGTCACTGACAGGAACAGTTTGATACAAACACACTCTAATAAGTGAATACGAATAGGGAAGTTACACAGTAGAGTACATGGGTGGTTTTCATAATTTGCGAGTGAATTTGTTGGGGAAAGACAACTGGAAAGCGCTTGATACAAGCTGTGACCTACATATAAGTGTACAGAAGGTGCATTTCGTGTGGAGGCAACTTGGGTGTACCACTACGAATATGGTTCTAAGAAGTGACAAAAGAGAAAACGAGAAAGAAAAAACAGCAACGAGGCAATTGAATATATATATATATTTGATGGTGACATAAACATTGAGCTCTCCTGGTCGTCCCAACATAAACATCCAGTCAAAACATCACTACCATGCCTCTCGAGGCAACCCTAGAAAAATTGCACATCAAAGAGCAAATATTCAGGTGTCAAGATCGCAGCGCTCCGAGCAAATGCTGGAAAAGACTTTATAAACACATACTCACATACAGCTTATCATCTTCCTCTTTGACCAGCTGTGCCAGATGCATGTCTTCAGACTCAGTAGTTTTTGTTACTGAAATTTACTCAGATCACTGACTTATGCCATCTCGCCTATTATCTCTGTTTCCAGTCTCTCGCTTTCGTACTCTCGCACAATCTTCAATGCTAATTAAGCAACTTATATTGTCCATTTATTTACTTCTGAAATCTCCTTCTTAGCATTGGTATTTTATTCTCATTATTCTCTACGTTGCAACTAATTGATCAAAAGACTGGTATTGTGATAGCTGCTGGTATCTAGAGACCCTTTTTCCATGAAACAAACGTATTTATTCAAATCATTGTCTTACACATTGAGGGACCACAGTATATCCTTTGAGAGGCTAGTAATGAGATTTCCTGCTAGCTCACCTAGTGTCTTGGGGTTATCTGGAAGTCTACGTAATCTATGAGTAAATACTTTTTTGTGCAGTCTGTTTACAATAATCTAACCGGTAACCTACTTCAAATAATAGAAAATATATGTAGGAAGTAGTTCATATAACAGATCATATAACACTATATTTTCCTCGACCTGATGCGGTTTCAGTGAAGCCTTTCGTTTTATTTAAAGAGTATTGTGATTGGAATACAAGATCGAGGCAACAAGTGCGAACAAGCTTATCTATAATTGAAAATCAGTTCTAACCCTAATGTAATACATTCCATTCCTAAAACAGCCTTTCACTAAATACATTTGTATCACTCCGATCTGTAACTCGTGACACGTATGGAGGCTACTGAGTATAAAGTGAGAATATTCGAGCACTTCTCAGATAGAGACTTTATACCGTACTAGTCAAGACTTACACCCGAAGAAATTACGAGTGTTTTAACCCACCAGTTTACATGCCTTTGAACTGGTTGACGTTATTTGTTCAGAAATATTAGGTCATCCGAGTGTCTTCAGTCAAGGTTTAATATACCATCACATTCACAAAATCAACTCAATAATACCCAGAATCATGGCATATAACACGACGCGGCAAACCATGAAGACCTAAAGAATGCGTAGGAAAGAAACAAAGATTGAAACCAAACACGGATAATAATCAATGAGCCTGCAAGATATACTTATTTAAAGAATAACCAATAATAAACGGCTATCACCACACCACTAAGTCGCTAATAAAAACGATATCCACACCAAGAGTGTAACAACATTGATTCAAGTAAACATAATGAAAATGAGCAACAACAAACTAAGTGTCATGAAATAACATATAGAGAGAAGCAGACAAGACTACACCTGACATGACACCAACAATGAATAAAAATAATAAACCAGCAACTCATCGCAGAAATGGGTCTCGCATACAAGTGCCTCTACTACATAACATAAACAATCACGAAAAAATCTTTATGGCTGTAGGAATACCTTCAACCAGAGTGACTGATCTAGAAAAAATGGCAGCTGTTTATTCGATACTGATGGACTCGTACCTCGTTTCTGTGGTTTGCATAGACGACATTAAGGTCACTGAGGCGCAGGAAAGTCTCTCCTAAATTAAAGACTCTACAACTGCTGTTGATGTACACTATAAATAATAGAAAGCCTAGCACTCTCCCTTATGAAATCCCACGTGCTGCATCACTAAGTGCTGATGCCTTTAAGTCAAGTTTAATATTCTTGCACCAGTTAACTTAGTAAGAAGCGAGGATTCTAATAGAATATAGTTTTTACGAATTTCGAAAAAGTTTCTGGGATGAGAAGTTTGGAATGACTAAGTGGAGACAAGAAGTATCCTGTTGAATTAAAATCGTTTGTTAAATAAGGCTAATGGCGGTGCGAATGTAGTTTTGTAAATTCTAGTCATTTTGTGCGTATTAAAATAATTTTTACCGGACTTTGTCTTTTTAAATGTCTGTATATAGAGAGGCATGCCTGTAACATTGTTTCTCAAATGCCCTAATAATAAGCTCGTGGGAACAACAGCTAGAATAACAAGTGTCCACGATATCGACTGACCCATTACACGATGGTTCAGAAGTGGTTTCTGAAGAAAAGACTGAAATAGGCCCTCTGCTGATCTTCCGCAAAACCCTAAACTGAAAATGTGAGATAAATTTAATCAAAACTTTGAAAAATAAAGAAACATAGAAACTTAAAATATAAAAATTTTAAAAACGATTTGGAACGATATGTTTCTTTTTTGATATGATGGATACAGCATCCCAATTTTTTTTAAACTGGTACTTGTTTAAATGCACTATTTGTGGGTAACGATAACGACAGAGTCATGCATTAGTACAAATGGACCATCCCATTAAAGTCCGAACGAGGAACTCTGAAATTTGTTATTTCACGCCTCCTTTTCGATCTGAAGTATGTTGCTTTTATTTTCTCTGATTTTTAAAGGTCCGTGGTATTAACTATCGACGAAGAAGCCTACAAAAACAATTCGAGGGTTTATTCGCCCCCGTTACCCAAGCCTACAGAGAACTAGGGTATCCCTTGGGAGTCGATGCAGAAATTTTACATGAAAAAGTCTTTGAGAGCATTTCTCAACGTCAAGTAGGTGGTATTTATTATCCATAGTCATGTTACATCGATTATATAAAAGCATATATAGAGATTTTAATATTTATGATCCTGATAACTTGTAAATGACTACAATCATGTTCAAGTGAGAGTATGTTGATTTGTGGCAATATAAATCTCTCAATTAATCTGCTTTAACAGAAACCCTGTCTTCAATGAATTAAACGATATATAATACTGCTGACGGTAATATGCATTAATATATCAAGCGCATATGGTTTATCATGGCTTTTGGACACCAATAAACCTATTTTCTTCAGCCATTATTCGCGTATATCTCAATTTTGGTATAGAATTACTTCGTGTATCACACACCTAGCGAAATTTTATTGACTGTAAATAGTTGGTCATTCTTCAACAAATGGAGTTGGTCCGCTTGTCTCTCTGCTTTTCTTCGCTTCGCCTTTACGCTTCCCATCATTATATCTGTTTGTACATAGAATATATGAAATGAATTCATCCAAACAAATTCGTATTGGGCTTATTAGCATTGTTACTTTACAAAGGGGTTCGCCTAAGACTAACGTGTAGAAACTAAATGAAAGATTTGTTTTATTCGTATATCTACTCGTTCGTCCAAAATGGAATCAGATTCAAGGCGTTTATACCTAAACAAACCTAAATATCATGTTGAAATGTTTTGGTTTGGAAAGGAGGGGAAACTGGGTGACCTGAGTAGATCGTTGCGTTTTCAATCTCTCAGTTGATCAAACTTCCTCTTAAATGTATCAACAGGTGGAACGACCTTTAGTCATGTGTTGGGGTAAAGAGTTCCATTCGTTGAATATTCAGTGGGAAAGACACTGGTCGCTCAGTCTTACTCAATGTGTATTTATCTGTATCTTTGTGACTAGTATGGGTCGTGATTGCACTTACGGGCGTTTATCTGCAATTTTCAGATCCTGAACCATTCAGACAATTTTTATAGGTCATTTCGAAGCTTTAGACTGTCATCTTCATTTTTGATCGCCTTTTATATCTTGATCTCGTAAGACAAAACTGATGCAGTTAGGCAACTTGGAGTTAACCAGTACTCTTTGTTGGCATACGACTAAGAAGTCCTTATTTTAAATAATTAGTTTTCTCCTGAAGCCGAAGTCACCTACTTACTTACTTTATTTTCGCCTGTTACCACCAATGGAGCATAGGCTGCTCTGCAGCAACTTGAAATAGTCTTCCAGTCTCCCACAGTGTTCGAACATTCCATGTACCTGAAAAGATGGTTGCTCTGGTTGTCAGAAGAGGTATAGGCCTCGTGACCCGAGGGAACTAGGCTTTCATCACGAGACGTCATAATTCTTCTTCCAACTCCCAGGGCAGAGTTAAAATGGTTTGATTTATTTTTTCTGGTTAGCGTTTTTTTGGCAAGTTATTTTTTCGGTGGGATAGGGTTGCCAACCCCATACCCAACCCTCCTCCTTTATCCGGGCTTGAAACCTGCAGTAGCCTCAAAGGTTCTACAGGCAAAATCACCTTACGTGTAGATAAAAACCGGTTGTGAGGGACATTGCCAAGAGCCCTTCTAAAGTCAAGAAATTTTGCATCAGTAAGTAACTCTGGATCTTTAAGAGAACACCAACTTTTATGGACCAGGTTTGTGAGACATGAATGACCTGATTTAAAGTCACAATGCTTCTCAAAAGAAATTCAGTTATTAATCAGCTCCTAACGAGTCATATTTTCTAAGATTTTGACAACCATGCTGGTTAAGCTTACGAGTCGAAAGTTCTCAGATTCGCCCCATACCTATTTATGACATTCTTCAATCCATTTTGTAATCTGCCTAGGGTTACAGATAGGTGAAAATATATACTTAGGGGATTTGTGATGAATTGTCGATAGTTCGTTGAATAACCTAGGATACGCTTCATCAGGGGGCTTCCAGATATTGAGATTTTGTCTTACCAGTCCCAAACATTTCAAACTTCCCCACATTCTTTACCATTATGAAGAAGGGTACGAACCTTCCTACTGAGTGAGCCACAGTAGGAAATTTATTGGGTTCTTTAGTGTAGTCCAAACAATGTGTGGTGAATAACTTTTACGTACGAATTGTTGAACACTTGCAGAGCCATTTCAATGGGTGATTCTGACTCTTCTTCCTAGTCTACTGAAGCTGCTGAGTGTATAATTTATTGTAAGTTTGCTCTCCAAACATTTATTCTGGCTTAAACTGACATATCATTGTAAATAACAAGATGGAAATCAAGTGCTAGGACTGGATGGACACTCTTACCGAAAGGTGGCATATACTCATGGTTTGAGACGTCATTCTGATAATGCATGTTAATACGAGGTCTATTAAGGATAATCCAATGTCCGAATCGTACCAGTTTGCCTCTCTTATATGTTGGTTGCACTAGGGTACTTGTAATTACTGAGACAGCTAGTTTCTATTCAAAGGAATTTTCTGACAATTAGATTACAGTTCATAGAGGGTGCATTAAAGTTTCATAAAATTCAACACCAACTACTTAATTACTAAATAAATGTTGAACTTGTCCAACAATGTCTCATTCGTTTTACAGTTTGTGCTTTGAATAACCAAACCAATTAGTAGCTCTTTTCCTTTTCAATTCAATTGGCAACTAACTAATTTCTACATCTCACTAATATACTACTTAAAATCCCTTAAACGATAACAGAAAGTTATTTTCTTATCAAAGAGTAAAAGTGAATAGTAAACGTATCAAATCCTTATCCACCCTGTTAGTCAGTCAGTTAATTACACCGTAAAACTTCGTACGCACGTACATCAGTTCAAATTACCATACCTACGACATTAGCACAGAGATGCAGTTGTTAGTTCAAATCCCATTGTGGTAGAGATAGTAGACGTTTATCGGTAATCGAAAAGATTAGGCTTTGAAGATGTTATTCGCAAAATGTAATCTAGTGAAATAACTTTCAAAAGATAGAGGTGATGTGGGATAGAGAAGATTAGAATTTCAGAGGACACAAAGAATGGATACACCTGTACTTTTATTACAAACGATTTTGAGCCATGTCGTTCAAGGTCTCTAACCATCGATTGTAGTCATTACGCGGAGACTCTAACCAAGTAGTCTATACCTATCAACATAGCTCAATCCAGTTTTCAGTGACTTCATGGTTTTGTGACATGTTTTGGTTTGACCACCTCTGGGCTTTTTTTCAACCTACTCTTACACTCTCCTGTCTCCTTCATTTGCTTGTAACAAGTAAATAATCCTAATTTTTCATTCAGTAATACTGTTGTGAACGAAAATTACAGAGTTACTCAGTAAAATAGGAAAACCATATCGTAAATTGTTCGTTTGCAAACTATCAGTTCATCATATTGAACTGGACTGTTCCTGTTGCAAAACATCAATCCATTGTCAATATTCATGCGTTTCATACAAATTCCATTGTGTTCCCACTCTTCCTTTCTTGATCTTCCCCTATCTTCTGCTGCCAGACATTACGTTTCCACTCACGTCATATACTACTTATGAGTAGCTCACACCACAATACGGATTGTATAACTGAAGTGAAATTATGAAACATATCATGAATAACAAAAACTGTTTACAAAATAAGTTTGTGCTATTCGAATAATTTACCTCGCTCTTTCTTTGCTGCTTATTCGATGAACTTCGTTGTTACTTCTCTCACATGAGAAATAATACAATCGTCTTAAGAGTTTATTGTCGCTAACTTGATCAAATTTACATTATTTCGAAATCATGAATTGATCATTTTCTAGACCATGATCAGAAACGTGGAAGCACTGGATAGCCGTTTCTTCCTAATCTGGGATTCTTCAGCTATATGAGGAAGTTCCTCCGAGTTCTAATGAGAAGTCATAACTAGTGGAGATCAACTCTGTCAGCTGTGAAGTAGTGCCCACTGTAAAGACAGTGGACGAGAGTGTGCATTGATCGGAGTTGGACATTAACTCTGATGGAGGTCGAATCAGTTTTCCAGAGGTTGAGCGTTAGCCTGCAAAACCGAAAGTCCTGAGTCCTATTCCCGGTGATGGGTGGTCGTGGATGCACACCGCTAGTCCCATACTAGGACGAAACGGGTGTCCAATGCTTCCAGGTTTCTTTCTAATGATGGTCTAGCATTGATCGTTTCAGGACTTCAAAAAGTAACTCAACCATCTTCACAAAAACACACTATATGTTATAGTTTTCTCTTTATTACAACCCAGTAGTTTCTAATGCATAGTATTCTCGGACACCAAATCACCCGAGACATTCTCCCAAATCAGAACACGGTTGAACAGGAAATAGATTATATTCCAATGACAAGGTTAGAATGGGGGAAAAAAGTTCAATAGGAAAAAGCGTTAGTCTATTTAGAGCTTCTTCACATGACGAGATTCTAGAATGTTCCTCCAGCGTCGATTAGCGCTGATCGGATACAAAAGAGCCAATCAGTGTGCAGCAACGCAATCAGTCCCGGTAACATGATGCTCATTAGGCTGATTCGATTCAAAATACATAACAAACCAATCAATAACAAAAAAGAAAAAAATTCGGATCTTACATTCATTATTGATTTTCAGTAAAAACTATAGTTTTACACTAACATCTCTCTCTGTTTCTACATTTTATACACAATGTACAGAGTATTCAATATGAAGCGGATTTAATGAATGAATTTATTAAAGAAACGAAAATTACTGATGAAGATTTATGGTAGGGTAAGTGAAAACAATCATTATGATGATGATGATGATTGCTGGTTTGTGTTAGGATATTCATCCAATATCTTAAGAGAATTATTGCTGAAATCCTATCGGTTGATTTCTATTGGTCAAAATTATGGTTGTTTTAACTGTCAATGTCAAATACTTCAATGTTGTCTCTTCTTATTGGTCAGCTGGACTGTCAATGTAATTTCAAATGTTCTTTCTCATTGGTTGTCCTGACTATCAATGTCACTTCAAATGTTACTTCCTATTGGTCGTCTTAACTGTCAATGTCACAGAATTCGATGCTGTTTCCTATTCGACCAAAATGTATAAATACGCATTATCTGTAACGTTTTATGACCAGGACCCGGTCTCGGATCCCTAGTCCGGGATACTTTCTCTTCTGGATTCGGACCTAGTACTTTCTGAATGCCTGTAGAGTACATGTTCACCTTCATATCAAGTCTTCTTATTTTTACTCAATATGAGGGTTAGGATAATTGGATTTGAGTAGTATGTCGTGTCACCGGATCCTCGTTCTCGTTCACCGACTAATGTGAACTCGTAATAGTTCAAGTATATCAAGTCGACGTGTTTACGTGAAGGCGTAACAGTTTGTTCAGAGAATTTTCCTGTATTTACATTTCCAAATGATGTATACCTTTCAATGTAGACTGAAACTATTTCCTTCTATTGAACTTATCATTAATTAATACTTACCCTGACTAGGATGAATTTTATTCATTCAAAGAGTGTAACTATTACATTTTGAAAATTTATGAGACTAATTTCAAAGAATGAATTTGTCTAACTGATCAATTATCAATTGTTACTTGATGGAGGAAGCCATTCAGAATCAATTACACTCGTTGATGACCAACTAGAAACATAGTAGACCTGGTAGAAGTTCTTGAATCTGTAAGAGTTAAACGTGTATGTATTTCTGTTATAAATGCTGCTATGTAGCTATTCGAAATCCTACCGATTGATCAAATTCAGATATTCCAGTACGACCTCAAATATTGTTGCCAAATCTCCAATATATATCAGAACACAACACCGTTAGATAAAAGTTGTTTATGGGGTTGAGTACAGAAGGTATGAATAATAATCTTTGCAGATAATGCCTATTTATAAAGTTAGGTCGAATAGAAAACAACATCGAAGTGTCTGTGACATTGATAGTGTTAGGACGACCATAATATTGACCAGTAGGAATTGACCAATAGAATTAGACTTACAAAAATAATTCTCTTAGGCTATTTGATGAGAATATCCTAACAATTTCTTTTTCCGTGTATAAGAAAAACAAACAGTATTGCGTTTTATTACTGATATCATGATGAATGACTCATTGTTAGACCATCACCATTGGAAACCTGGAAGCACTAGACGGCGGTTTTGGCCTGGTATGGGTCTCACCAGTAATGCACATCCGCGACTCCCGTCACTTGCAGGATTCGAACGCCAATGCCTAACCTCTGAACCATTAAGACAGCACCTTGCACTTCAATGATTTCTTCTAGTTAGCGTTTTTTTTGGCAAGTTAGTTTTTGACAGGATGGGGTCGCCAACCCCAGTCCCAATCCTCCTCCTTTATCCGGGCTTGGGACCGGCAGTAGC